AACAATTTATTGATTCCAAAATCCAAGTTTCAAAATTTGTATTACCGAAGAACCGAGTACCCGGATTTGAATATTCGACGAAATTGATGTTATTTAGGATTTTCAAATGGTTATTTTTTAGTAAAAATTGACTCGAATTTACAAAAAAAGTTCTTAATGCGCTTTGCTTTACCCCACAGAGTTTTGTTTGTTTATGACTGAAAAACGTCAATAATTATCGGAGATAGTTTGCGCTGATTGATAGAAAATAATTTTCCTTAAAAACTGTGAAAAGCTCATTGCATTTTTTTTTTAATTTCCAGTCCAGAAAAATTAAAGTTCCTTTTTAAATAACGTCATATTAAATTTCCTTCGGTGTGGAAAATCGATTGACCAACAGGATTTTTTTATTTTTCCAGTATATGAAAGCTGTATGAATCAATACTTCCGAAATCATACTATTTTTCTCACAGTTCAAAGAAAGGCTTACAACATTATAAATCAGAAGATTGGCAACAAACATTCATGCAGTCGATTATTAGATTTTTTAGTGCGATTTTAAGACAAAAAATGTTTTGTCAACAAAACATTTTTTGTCTTTTTTTAGTAAAACCTGCTTGAGTGTTTTGGTATTATTTTGATTCGTCGATACTGTTCTTTGCTCTGAAAATCAACAGATGTTTTAAGAATCCGGAATGGCATTTAGATGCATGCAGAGTATTGATTAAGATATTCTCCAGTGTCTCAAAACACAGTGTTTCCTGCCAAGTTTTAATTTTATGCCCAATATAAGAGACATTTTCCAAGTGTTTTTCCTCGTGATTTAATGATATTGAATTACTCTGTTTTTTCACATTAGCATCCATTGATCTCCAGCTTGTTACTACGAATTTCGCAAAAACAGTGTTTCTTATAATACAGTCATACAAAGGTAAAAGCGTAGTTTATTGTTATAGTTTCAATTGAGTTCTTTGTATATTGGCTTTAATTGAGGATTTTAATTCGTGTCGATTTAATTCACTTCTAATATTGTAGAGATGAACAATTTTTACCACTTCCAGGCTTATGCAGATTTATATTCTATGAAACTCTTTAGATTGTATAGTCATTATTTCTTTTAACCCAATTAGACACAATATTTCCCAGTTTGCCGTTCCCATTTTTTCGCTATTTTGATTATTCTGTTTCCACAGATTTTCAACCAAACATGTTCTGTTATTTTTGTTCCCGCGCTTGCTTTCAACATTGAGTTCAAAGCAAGTTTTTCAAAAAAGCAATTTGTCCGATAAAATTGTAAAAACATTAGGAAATTGTGTTGATTCAATTAATGAAATAGAACATAGAAAATAGGGCTGATTGCTGGCTACGTTGGTTGATAGAGAACATCCTATTTTGTCTGCTAGCAAAATTGATAATTTCTTTAAAACGTAACAAAAATATCCTTTTTATTTTCAAATTCTTATAGTTTTATTCTTTAAACGGAATTTCATTCAATCTACTGGCAAACTGCACTTTAGAATGCTTTTACACGTCGGGGCAAATAAAAACTTGAGAAAATAGTGCTAAATAAGTCCTTAAGGAGATCGACTTAACTTAAACATTACAATTACACATAGAATATAATTAATTCTGATAGGGCAAACAAAAATATAGTCACCGAGTGAAAGGGAAAAAACTTTGAAATATTAAAAGAATTATCTTAATGATAAATTATATAGGTAAATCCCGCATTGAATAGCTGAGATATACGATATGTTTCTCGCTTAGTTTTGCCCATCCTGGAGCAAATAAACAAACTATAAATCATTGCAAGCCCCCAGGTGAACATTATCGTGCAAAATGCGAACTTTTTGCACGTGTTGCTTTCAACTTCATTATCTCTTGAATAATATGTTTCTAGATTAGCTTGGCGGCACTAATACCTTGCCAACATGATATAGTAATTTTGCCAAAGATGCTGCTTCACGTTTCACAATCAATTATTCCATTTTTATATGTTATTTGCTCACCACTTGAAACCCGAGAGCGAATCTATTGCAGCAACTGCTTGACTTTTTCCGTACTATTGCGGGCATTAAATTACAAGAAAGTAATTTATACGAGAACACTTAAATCCAATATGTTCCGACTAAAGTAGGATTTCTTATTTCCTACTTCAGTTTTGTCTCAATCCATTTAAGCATCTTTATGTAGTTGCAAAGAGTGGCTGTTAAATAATTCATCTTCCAGCAGTGCCTCATCCAAACAAGGCCGAGCATTTGTCTTTGAAGCAGTAAACACGGTAGTTTATGGGGATTCCTGAACAGTCTTAGAACCTTACTTCAGTGTTTCTTTATTCAGACTGCTGGTTTTCCTGAATATTTTAGATTTTGCATGCTTTCGGGTTGCTGTTATGGCTAAAGTGAAGTAATCAAATTTTTATAAAGGTTTGAAGACTTTTATCAGCACGTTAAGTTTGCAAACTAACGCAGCTTGAAGAGGCATAAATCCAACATTAAATGGCAATTACCTGAGCAGCACATAAAGCATATCTATTGTGACTGGTCGCATGTAACATTAAACCCATCCAAGGCATGTCGCCTTTAACAAAAGTCTTGGTTTTATTCTGTCTAGTGCCACGATGAAGTTAAACAGGATTTAGTGGCAAAAATCTCCAACCCCACTTCCTTGTTTCGGAATACTTAATGGTTTTAGCTGGGTTTGTTCTTTACGCTTTGGGGATCAGAAAAATATCGAACACGCCCGTGACTTGTTCAGATAAACGGCCAGAAGCAAGTGGTGCTGTTCAGGATATTTTCCTGTTTAGTCGAGAATTAATTTGGGACGAGTTGAAGACTTTACATAAAAAAAAGAAAGTTCTGCCACATTCAACTAAAATCTGTTAGATGAACTTAATTAACCATCTGCAATATATTTCATAATAATTAATCACTACTCGCTCTGTGCACGGCTGGGGCAAATTAATAATGATTTCTTTGGGCTAATTTTATAATAGTAATAATTTTACATATGTAATTTATTTACCATACAACAATAATTAATCAAGCACGTTGACATGTACGCAAGTTTCAGAGGTTTGCGGCGCCTCCAGTTCAATAACATTATTAAATCAAATCATACTGTGCTGTCATATTTAATATGCATTTTAATTTGCGAACTTGCTCAGTTAAGACATTCATGCTGCAAAGGTCAGGCCTATTCAATGATATATTGTTAAGTTACATGTTCATTCAAATTGATCTGCAATTGATTCTAAGAATCGATGGAAATCTTTGATTGAAACATTGTAAACTGAGTAACTGGTTCATAGAGACTTTCACAACCCTGCTTGTCTTGTTCTTCATTGCTTCCTCTCTTGTCTGCACCTTCTTGAAGTGCGGACACCCCTAATTTCCAAACATAAAACAAACCCTAAACGGGACAAAAGTTCCCGTATGAACATTCATTTCCAACGGTCTGCGCAAACCGACCATGACCAAAAGCAGATGTTCCACTTTTCCTCTTCATTATATTCCCTAGTACTTGCACCAATTCGATCAGAGACAAGTCTCTGAATCCGATATCGGTATTGGGCTCACATATCGCAAATAATAACAGAAAGCTTTTTCAAAGAAATTTAATTCCTTCAGCAAAAACAATTTAAATTAGGACGAAGTCCATAAAAAAGTAACGAAGACAATTAATTAAGGCTTTATAAATCGTTACCGGTTCAATCTAAAGATTAAATTTTAAAGACGCTTTTCAAGTTATGTATGTCAAATCGAAATTATAGCCATACAAATGTGTCTATTAGAGATAAAGCCTAAAAGCAGGTTTACAATGACTGTATTTAACCGAAACTAATATCGATAAGCTGGAGGATGTGTAAATTTATAGGGAGTGGCAAGATTAATTTTATGGTCGGTTTATGGTATTTCGAGGTGTAATTTACATAGAAACAGCTGTTCGCTGCATTTCACTAACTATTCAGATGCTGGTTCTAGGAATTTGAGCCAAGTTTGTTGATAAGTTTTGTAATTCTAGTCTAATGCATTTTTTGGTATCAGAGTGCTTTTCTATAATTACAGACATGATACTTTAATCTGTTGAACATTTAAGGATTCTACAAAAAAGAGCAAATAATAATTTGCTCTGTATCATTTTCTACTACTTAAAATAAATAGAATTATAAATTAATAAATGTTTTGGATTTGAGTAATTTGTAGCCTTATTTTAGAAAAAAATTTGAAAATTATTTAAATCAGGCCGAGCATCCCTAAGCAATCTTGTAGCAGCGCTTTGTTAAAGTATGTTAAAGGAGTAGCGGCGCTTTGTTAAAATTATATGCAGAAAAAAAATGTATTGTAAAAATTATTTGCAAAAGGACCCAAAATTACGCAAGATGATCAGACGCTTGCAAGACAACATAGAACACTTATTTTTTGACAATCACGATTTAGAACAAGTTCTTTATTGACGGATTGTTGCAAAATTGGTCTTAAAGCAAATTACAAATTGCGGATATTATTTTACAAAATCTTCTAAAAATTACACAAAACCGATCTATAAAATTAAGCAAATCATGGCGAATCAGAACTAACACCAATTTGGAATATGTTTGTTCTTTGCTTAACTTTGCTGTTAACGGTTGCTCATAAGTCAGCGGTTCAAGAAAAGTAGTTTTAGTAAAACAAACATTTAAAAAATATTCGGATCAAAGCCAAGTTTTCCAAAATTGAGCGCAAACTATTTTCTCTGTCAATCGCTTCAAGCAGAAACGAAAATTATTACATTTAGAATTATTATACATCGGAATTGCTCAAAATGAAAATTCCGCGAAAATTACCTTCTAGCACCACAGTAAACTCCAGCTCACGCTGCTCTTATACGGTATGGAAGGCGGTTTTTTGCATTCAATCCCAAGATGCAACTTATTATAAGCAAAGCATATTTATTTGCTTGAGAATCTGTGTTTTGCATACTGAAGTCTGATGTTTGATTTGGTTCCAAAGTCCCGAAATAATTTTATTTTTTTGTTCCAGAAGGAATTCCGTAGAAGTGCAATGAACTACTTAACAATGACGTAATGACTACGCCAGTTCCTCCAAGAAGTCCTACACGATCTCGAAGTCAAGCAAGTAGGCGCCAAAGAGCTTCTGTTCACTCAGACTGTCCACCTGAAGTTGAAACTGAGTCTCCATTGGGAAACGCAAGTCCTGGCTTAGAAAAACGAAGCGTTTCTCTAGTAAGTGTGCACCTAGGCCTTAACTGAAAAAGACTCACTGAACCCAATCTACAACAAACATCTAGATTGATCAAATAAAAAAAGTTCATTAAAAATTCTAATTTGATTGCAAAGTAAATGCAGAATTGATTCCTGAACTCTGTGTTTAGCAGGTATGACTTGCAGCAATTGTGAAGCTGCGTAAAAATTATAATAGTCGAGAGCGATAAAAAATCTCATACCTTAATGAGCTCTACAGTTCTTTGATGAGCCGGTTTAGATACAGAACGTTTTAGCTTTATCATGAGAAGAGGGGTAATTTGAGAATACTGAACTTTTAAATTAGGTGTGAGTGTATGGCTGCTATTCGTAAAGCTATTATGGGATCGCTTTATTTTATTTATGATCAGTGTTTTCTGGAATTGCATGATTTTTTACTGTATCGTTTCTCTTAAGCTAAGAAGCTTTTGATAAAACCATGATAAAAAGTCGCAGTTATTGGGAATGTGTGAATGCGAAAGGCCGAGCATTCGATATCATAACAGAAGAGAACGAATTAGTGTTTGTTTTGTTAATGAGAGCTTATTTTCTCATTTTGTTAGACGCTTTAATTGTTTTTAATTGGTTAAAACTGAGTTTATTTTTTGCCCAAATTGACTTATAATTGAAGGGTGCTAAAGTCTATGCCATCGATGTGTTTGTTCTATTTTCCTATTTTCATCGAAAATGCCTTGGCATGGATATTTTGAGAATAATTTGGGATTAAAAAAGTTTCCCACAAACGGATAAATTTTGATAAACTGATGCTTTTTCTGCAATGTGTAGAGACATTGTCGTTTTGATTTCAACAATAATTACAAAGCGATGGTCTTTTTATCATATATGCTGTGAAATTTGTATGTGAACTCTTCTGTAAACATTTGTATTAACATTCTCAATTGCTTTTTATATATATTTTATATCTAAACTTTTGAAAATTAAATTGCTGTTCACAACGGTTGATAAAAATATTAGCTTGTATTTTCCGAAAACTATACTTTTTTTACTAAACTATTTTTTGGTAATTTTTGTGCAATTTTTAAACTAATTATTTTTATAGAAAATGTTTGCTGTTCAAAAGGTTAACTTTGAAAAGTCACCGAAAAAATACATCTCATAGTGTTATTTTTCAAGCAGCAAAAATTTGCATAGTACCTTCATTTGCTTTGGCTATACTTTGCGCAATTTTTGTAGCAATTGCTGAATAACTCTCGGAAATTATCTGCCGGCATTTTTAAGCAATGATTTGTTGGAAAATTGCAAATTTCGCTATTTATCATCAGGATTAATGGAGCACACTTTCGGCAAAAGAAATTTGTATCTTCATTTTTGACAAATTTGCTCAAAGTATTTTATCTGCATGCTCTGTTCTCAAAATAGTCCTTTGAAAATCCTATTTCCAAATTAATTTTATCGAAAATTTTAAGTTTAGGTGTAACAATCCTGATATTTTTTTAAATCGTTGGCACAGCTTCAGAATTTTTCTTTTCTTGCTCAACAGGATTTAATGTATTAGTGAGTGAATTTTCGAAGAACTGGGAAAAGGGTACTGTTCAGACTAATTGGAAAACACCTGCTCTGCTTTTGCATGTTCCTAAAATTTTCCTCAGATTTTCCTTTTCTATCTCATTTTCTTACATTTTCTGAAATAGTTTTCTAATACAATTAACACTGTCAATTCTTTAAAAACTTACCAATAAGGCACACTAACAAATCTCTTTGAGCAATTTTCGTCAATATCAAATGGTACTCATTATTTACTATTAATTCCTTAGACGCAAAGGCAATTTACTGTGGTTGACGGAGAACATGGCAGATTTACTTATTATGAGACTAATGAAAAGTTTTTAACATAACACGTAAAGTCTGTTGAATCTGAACATTTGCAGGAATATTTATTAAGTAACTGTTAAGTACCCCATTATGGTAGTTTCGACCTCAGCAACTGTACTAACGAGCCATACTCCGGGATTGAAAACGAAATATATTTAAATCAAAACCAGTTGGTGGTTCAAAGCACAAGAAGTTTTTTTTGCTTGACTTTGCGGCTGAAATTCGCAAACACATTTGAACCCAATAAGGCCTGGCAATATTTATGAAGACAGGTTCATGACAGTACCAAGAGTGAACGGAACGAGTTTGTTATACGTCCATCAGGCTCTTTAAATGTTACGTAAATCCATCAGGGAAATTTTTTTCAGGTGACGGAATGGATTCAAATTGCGTCTTCCTCGTAATTATATAGCAGATAATTTGAGAGCTTAGACTTTGGTTGGTTAACAATGTTTTTTTATTATACAATTTGTGTGTTGGTTTATCGTCAGAAGGCCTCTGTAGTGGCGATTTTCTCTAACCTCACGCCAAAAATCCGAGCGCTCTTACAGCCTACAATTAATTAGGAAGATTATAGTGTTGCTGGAATTTCGAAATTACACTGTTGGTCTCCAAGAGACTTATATCAATGAATAATTACAAATTGATAAGTATGAGATACAGCAGGCGAACTTAGTAGTTTGAGGAGCGTAAGTAGGTACCGATGATTAATGGTTTTGCTTATTCGAAGTGAATAATTATTCAGCAGATAGAGATTTTCTGAGCAAAGTTGGATACAGACTTTTTCAATAAATATTATGTCCTTTACATAATCAAATTTTAGTTCCGAATGGGCGAAATAAACACATTTTAAAGTAAAATCAGCAATAAATTTAGGTTCACTTCCATCTTCCAATATTACTTAAGTGGTGAAAAACGTAGAATATATAACGACAAAAACAAGTAAATTTGTATCTAACTGAATATTCTACATTTATCACTGTCAGCGTTTTTTCCCAAACGGTGTTCACATTCTCGATATAATACCGGATATGTCCATTTTGCAACTTGGAACTTACAAATGTTCCTGGTAATTAAATTTTCCCGTTTTCACGTTCTGAGCTTATTTATACTGGCCATTCCAGTTGCAAAAAACAGTTCGTCTAAAGCGAAAAATTGCCAGCGTTGAATTACCGTAATCTAATTTGTGTTTAGTTTAATTTGAATTTCCGTACGTTTTTCACCAACTGTGCGTTGGATTGGACAGTATCCAAATCTTATTTAATTTTATATTTTCTACGAGTTCAGACAGTGAAGACTGAAACTGAAGAACATGAAACCACGTTAATTAACGTTTATATTCTTCGGCTTGTAAAACTTTTAGTTTCTACCCATTTTGTTTTAGCCAATAAATCGCCAGGAAATAATCAGGCATTGATTGTTTCACCGCCAATGGAAAAAATCACATCAAAGCTTCCCACAAACAATGAAAAATTACGCACATAGATTTGTTTGGCGAATAACGTTTTACGATTTTTAATTGAAGCTATTAAGATGTCAGGAAACTCGGCGGCTTAATAATATGCTCTTGCTGAATTGTTACGGTAGATGCAATTACGTTACGAATCAGTTACTGGTACATCGACGTCTTTGGCGGCGTGCAGTTTTCCATTTACTTGCACTGATAATATACTTGGCATTTTGTTTTAAATATTATAAATTTAAATTTAAATATATATCTAATTGCGAATTTATTAAGTTCAATGATGTTTTTCAAAAACACTGATTCAAGTGCACTTTTGCTATTAACACTGCTAAGTATGAGAACAGGGCCCTTTAATTGCCAAGCGGTTGAACAATAAATTCGTGCCGGAAGTTCAAACAATTCCGCTTTGTTTAGAAGGCCGTAATTTTTACTTAGAGGGTACACGAAAAGTGAGCGCAAACAGATTTGGCTTGAACTGAAAATAATTAACTGCTTATCAGGTATAATTTTACGAAGCTAGTAAATGGATTTTTAAAACATCTCTTTGAGTGCTACCTAAATGCTCAGAATCATCAATAGCCAGAGTTTTCTCTTGAAATTACTCAAATCAATCAAATGGAAAATAATTTTTATAATGCTTCCTAACAGAGTAAAATGTAAATTTAGCAGTGAAAGTCCATTAGTGACAATATAGTTTCAGTCATGCAACTAGAGGTTTAACAAACTACCACCAATGATGACAGGTGTTTACAGGACAGAATGAGTTAATAGCCATTGAAATGTGTGTATAAACGAGTGATTTATCGAGGAATTATCAATCACCTGTTGAATGGCCGTTGATTTTTTTCTCTTCTTGTTTCAGACTACTTTGCAACCGACGGTTATTCAACCGAGGATGGCTCAACTGGAAACCTTGGAAGCAAAGGTAAAACATTCATTGGTTTCGGTTGTTTAAAGCTGAATTGAGAGTGTTGATTGAAGTGCAACATTTGCTGTTTTAATATTCACAATTTCTCCAAATAGCACCCACGTCTGATGAAGACACTTTATAAATGCAGGTGTTTGATGAAATTTATTTCAAGACGTCAAGCAAAGCATTGTGGGCTCTTCATTGTCAACTAATAATTTCCTTGTTGTGTTGCTTTTCGCAAATTATTTTTTTATGCAATCACCAAAGCTCTTGAAACCAACGCATTTTGGCCTAAAGTTTACTGAAGCAAAAATGTTTACGAACTTCAATAATGTAACAACTTCGACTGAAGAATTCAGGAGAATTTTCTCTATAATTTCCCTCGAATCTGTAGATTGAGGTAGACAATTAACATTGGTGATTTTAAATCCATATTTAGTTTAAAATTTCAGCAGGTTTTCTTGGCAATTTAAACATGTATTATTCAAACAGGGGTGACACAAAAGAAAATATCGAAAATGAAGAGGCAATGAAACAAGCAAACTCTACAGACTCTCAATTACTGTTTTGAATTTGCAGATTTAAATAAGAATATAAGAAACATATTTTAAATAAGAACTGTTTTTATAAATTTGCATACAGTTTTTTATACAATGACAGAAAAGAAATATTGGACATAGGAACGGACAGCATCTACAAACGTTAATTTGCTGGCTCAAAAAAACTAAAATTTGCAGCAGAAATTGCGTCTAAAAACGAATATTTTTGAAAAAAAAATTAATGAAATTTAGAATTAATGGATTAAATCGATAGAGCAAGAGATGAATTGTATGATCAGGCAACTATAACTGAAAATACTAAAACTGGAAGCATTTCAATATACAAAAAATGTGTCTAAACCCTTAAAAATAGCCTAAGTAAAGTTAATTAGTACGAAGAAAAAAATGTGCAAGTGAAAAACTGAAAGATCGTGAATAAAATTAATTTGAGAAAATCAAGATACTAATAATAAAATACAGTTTAAAGGTAATTAAGCGGCTTATAATCAAATATGTGACTATACTGTTTGATTTTGTATAGAAAGTTTAAAGAAATTAGTAGAAAGTATGTAATAAACTTAAATTTACCTGAGAGGAAGTGCTTTTGTGTGTGAGATGAAAATTATTCGACATTTAAATATGAAGCTTCATGCAAAATAAACTACAATTGAGAAGCTTTAAAAGCAGTCGAAATTATAACGAAATCTCAAACTTTTCAATCGACAGAAACACTTAAAACGTGGAAATTTATTTCAAAATATGCTAAATAAACACCGGTGTAATTAAGTTTAATGTAAATGATAAAGAAAAGCACAAGATAAACACTAATAAAAATTTTCAGTTTTAACATGAAAACACTAATGATTAAATAATGATGTAATAAAGCATTACAACATTATGAGGAAATCGTAGATTTAAATGTGATTTTTTTTCTGGCTATGAAAAGTCAATTATCAGAGTAAAAAACGAATAAACTAAAAACAGCCAGACAGTCCCGAATAAGATTAATTAATAACATAAAGATGCTTAAAGTATACAGACAGTGCAACATTAAATGTATAACTGACCAGCACACGTAAAGATTAGAAATTGCATAAAAATAGCCATATACTTTGACCCTATAGGAAAAGCAATTATTTAAAAAAACGTTTCTAAGGAAAAGTTTTTCTTCGAATGCGGTTTCAGAATCCACATTATCATCATTTAGAATGGAAATACTATTGCAATAATAAAATCAATCATTCTAAGTGCATTCCATCGCTCTAAACTATAAATCGCAACATTAATGACCAAGATTTATTTCCTAATTATTGAAACATCTTCACTTCGTGCCATTTTACACACAATAGCTATTCATTTTCATTATAATATGAATTTTACTGTTCTTTTCATATGCAGAATGACGACACCGACTGCAGTGCGTGTCTTACAATAAAGCATTTTTTAAACTCAAACAATTCAATTAGGGCTTTTATTGCATTAAGGACTGAAACCCCAGAAAAAGTTGCCAAAAAACCGGCTATTCTCTCTGAACAGGCTCTTGGGGGGGTTTTCAATCTACCTAAGACTTTTCGCCCTTTTCAGACATAAAAGGCAAATTAAATTGGAGTTGTGTTCAAAAGGAACTTTTCGCTTCATCCCATTATTAAATTGTACTCTTTCGTCAGGGGTGTGAAAAAGGGTGCATACGATTTAAACACTCGAAACCCGTTTTTGATTAGAATGTATTCAGTGGTAAATTGAGCCTGTTCAAAGGGAGTTTTTGTTATTTTATGTTAAGTAAGGGCATTGACCCAAAATATTTGTACATTAACTGAAAGTGAATAGAGATAACTGATAAAGGCAACGAGGAAAACGTCAAGCTAATAGAAAAAAACCAAACAGACCTTATATTCACCTAATGAATAATTCTAATAACTCAATTGAATTAAACATCCACTCATTAGTTGAATTTATTCGACAAATAAAGCAGCCACTCCGTACATCGTAAAGCATTCTGATACACAACAATTTACACCTGAATGAGCAGAACTTGCTCAGGAACTAGTTGGATAAATTAGTGGTGTCCACTCCTTGCTAGGAAGCGACATCCAAACTGCTATTTTAATAGCCAATAACTTTAGGATAATATGGAGAGGGACTTTTTTTCCTGTTGCAATTGATTGAAAATGCACTGTTTCGATAACAACCCTTTTCATTCATTATCTTCTGCTTATATCAATACACCTCATTTCATCGATGCTGAAAATGTAGATTTGCGACCACGAAACATGATGTAACTTGAGATTAATCAATCATTTATGGAATCGTTACCAGGTATTAGGTACCTAAATTCCCATCTAACTAGCCAGCAATTTTCATGTTTAGATAATATCAGGATATGCATATTATGTTGCTTTGCAACCACAGGCCTGATGTAATGTAAGTTTTAATGTCCCTAATCATAGGTGGTATTGATTACACGCAGGATTATGTTCACGAAAAAATTCCATCAGGGTATTGGTGAGCTTGAAATAGTAGATGGGCTTCAGCTCAATGTTAATGAGTTAAAAACGCACAGTTCACAGCTTTGCCTTGAGCGTATTTCTACTACACAGCCTTCAAGCTTAAGAGCAATTGGTTTTCTGAACACCCCTATTCGTTTGCTGCCAGCAGTAAATCCGATATGAGCAAACTGAAATGGCAAATACTGCATTTATATGAACAAAAACAAAGATCAGAGCTCGACCTCTTCCAGCAGGGGTTCCAACTTTATTGTTCCATTAACTGGTTACAGAGTGGGTGGCTTGTTCGAGTCTATCTTTCAGACGGTAGAAAAAAGCCATCGTGTGTAACGCTTTAGATCATGAAGATGGGCATTTCAATGGTCGGTGCAGTCTGCACCAACAAATCTTTTTACCGGTGCTTTCGTTACAGATGGCCAGCATTGAAGTATCTCTATCCAACACGCCAAGACGCAAAAAGTTCAATACGGGGATACTAAATTCCTCTATACGATCCATCCCGAAAGAGCTGGCAGCTAAAGAGCTGGAAAATCTTCGAAATGCCCTTAAAGATAAGGAGAATATCATTCAAAGCCTTAGGGGCCAACTAACGGTGCCTGGGTTAAGGTTGAATTCGATATTTAATGGTGGGAGCTAATTAGAAGTAGTAATTGCGTTGTTTTAACGAATGGAAATTGCAGGTAATAACAACAATAATAATGTGAATAATAGTACAAGCAATAGGGAATTAACCGAGGTAGAGAAGAAGCAAGCGGAAGATAGACTGGGAAGACTAAAGACTGACATTGAAAACAAACGCCTGGCCATTAAGAACCTGAAAATGGCTTTGGAGCGGCTGGATATCACAGAGTAGGTTCCAGATGGTTTGCAAATTTGATTATTCTTGACCGGCCTTTCCAGCAATATAGACGTTCGCATTCAGCAAGCTGAACTGGAATATCAATTGGGGAGGGAAGAACTCAACCTTCTAACGCTTCTAGAAGAGACACGGACCCTTCAGCTGTGCATAGAAGAGTCCAATCGATCTTGCGCCGAAAACAACACTTTGTTTAGGTAAAGACAGATTTTTGAAGTAATTTGTTTGCATCGGAAATTTTCCAGCTGTATGGATGGCTCAGATATGGTAATACTGCGGGCAATTACATTAGACTACGATCAAAAAAGCCCGAAATTTGTCGCTGGACAACGCGACAATATTCCAGGATTGTGGATAGATTGGGCGCTGGAAGAAACCGGACTGACAAAAGGGGACAGGTAAGCTGATTATTTCAGCCAAGCTTTTATGTGAACAATTTAATCCCATGCACAATTCGTTTGTTCGGAGTTTTACACTCCATTGTTTCAGCTCCACAATTTTACACGCAATTTGAGAAACAATGGGAGTGCGGCACTTTTTCCTTTACAATCGCTAATTTGTTTCCTAATGTCTAAAATCACTTACAAAGGCTGATCTAGATTTTCGGCTAGTCGTGAACGTTCCATTGCGCAATCATAATAATTGTGCTCTACCCATAATAATCTGGGTCGTATTTGCCTAATCTAGAAATATGGAAAGCTGCTAAATTACTCAGTTGATTAATCGCAATTTCCACTTTGGGAGAACCTTAACTCATGCGAACAGAATAGGTTTTTGTGCTAATTCGAACCAGTGGTAGGGTACAATACTGGAAGTTGTCTGCAAATGCCCAATTCATTTCCATAACTTTAAATTCCTCGGCACTTAGTTAATTAAGGCAGGTGGGTACCGGATGCATGGGTGGAAGGTTACGTTTATTGACCCTTCTTATTCAACATAATTTCGCTTTATGACTATAATCAGCCAGCGAATCGCTTCGCAAAGTCGGTTGTGAAATTATGTCTTCTTACCTGACAAAGTTTTTCATAATCCTTCTTTGAAGCAAGTTATCTTTAGATCATTCGGGAAGTGTGTTAGTTGCTTTTATTATTTTTTAAATTTGATTTACATTTCTTTGCCATCTGAAATAATTCCTTTTACTAGTGATCAATATTGCAGTTCTCTGATAAAAATGCAGTTCTCTACTCAGAAAATTTTCTGACGCACTCTGTATATTTGTGAATATTTAAATTAAAATATCAACGGCTTCGCGTAAACTTACGTGACTTTATCGCTCGTACATCTTGTAAAATTATTTTTTGTTGCACTAGTTGCACCTTAATATTACCTTTAACAGTTGTGTCCGTAAAAAACCATTTTTAAACAATTAATTTATATAATTTTGAAAAGATACAGGGTGTTACAAATTCTAGTAGCTTGAACTGTTCGTTTTATAATTAAAAATCGTAAAGATATAGAAAGTACAATTCCGATTTTAAAATATTTACATTTGAGAAACGCTTAAGAATTTTTTTCCAATAAAATTAACTTAATTAATAACATAATGTTAAGGAAAACTCCAGATGTTTTAGTAACGAGACTTGATATAAGCAGGCAAATCAAATAATGACAAATTTTATGTTTCTTGTTTTTTTCTCAAATCTTATATATACAGGGTTATTCACGCTCTACGGCACAGACGTTTGCGGCTAGCCCGTTTCTTTTTTGCAATAGACGCCTATCGGGTGCACATTTTAAAAATAGTTTTGTAATGTACAGAGTCTCCCAAAAGCCCTAAAAGTATCAAAGTTGTGTTTTTCTAAATGAAATACCCTATATATTAATGCATTTTTGGATTCTCTGAGCAAAATAAGTGTTTGTTTTAATAAGATTTATAATATCTAAATCTA